CTCCCCCCTCTCTTGGTTTTTTTTTTTTTAAANTTTTNTTTTTATTAAAAAAAAATTTTTATTTTTTTTTTTTTTTTTTTTTTTTTAAGGGGGAAGGGGCGAGAGTTTGAGTGGGGCAGCTAGACATGAGCTCGGAGCTCGGGGTGGGTTGGGATGGGGGTAAATGTGGTGAGGAACCTTGGAGCAGATTGTGTTTAACTGTTGGGACCTGAGAGTGATCCGCCCCAACACGACCCCTTCCTCCCTTACAGAATTGATGTGTGGTGTAGAATGGCCCAGATGTAATATGATTTAAAATCTGAAAAAAAAGATCAAAAGGGTTGGAAGAATACAAATGTTTAATTATTTTAAAAAAAATAAAGAGATATTAAATTAAATCTGTTTTGTGATAAAGACTGGAATGCTGTTCTGTTGTTTTTCTTTTCTCCAGTTTTAAAGAGTTTGATTTTCCTGAGTTATGATGTGCTTTCAGATCATTTGCCATTGTACAGCAGATTTCTTTGTCCATGGTTTTGTATGGGGAAAGCCCCAAAAGAAAACACTGACAACATAAATTAAAAGGAAAAGGGGGAATGGTGTTCATTTGATTTTTTTTCTCCTTGAAATAAGTCTATTATTGATGTTCTTCACATACTTAGAAAAATCGAGAAAATAATTTTTGTTAAATCTGGGAAGAATTTATTTAAAGAGCTGGAAATTTGCCATGCAAGAACTTAGGAAGATTGCAATTTTGTTTTTTTGTGGGTGGGGGGTGTTGTTCTTATACTAAGGAAACATCCTCATCTGTCACTGTAATTTCAATTAATGCCATAAATTTAGTTCATAAAGGAAAACCCTGTTGACTTGTCACACAGCAATATATTTCTGAGATTTATTTCTGATTTTGATTATGATTTACAGCTAAGATACTTGAGATAGGTATTTGATACACCATTATTTTTTAAATTATTCTGTCTAAAAACAATGTAATAAACCTTAACAGACATCTAAAACAAAATATTTTGCTCCATAAAAAACTATTTAATACAATAGAAAAATAGAAGTTCTAAGAATAGTTAACAGAAGAAATGCATTGGTCTGTTTGCCAAAGCGCATGAATCTGCAGGGTAATTTCATTCCAACTGAAAAAATAAAAGCGGGGTTGGATCAGGATATCAACTCCAAATGGGTCAGGCTTGATTATTTTTAAGGTGATCAAGGTGTGTATGCAATCACACGTCTATAAGTAGCTGCACGAAGCTTTGCCACATAATTGAGGAGCGCTTTGGCTCTGATGGAGAACATCGCCAATGGAATGATTCAGAGGGAGCGATTGATCAGAGATCATATTGATCTGCTGGGTAATGATGATGGTTTATCGTTTAGATTAATCCAGACTGATCAACCTGGAGCTCTGAGCAGAACTTAAAGGAGCTGTGCTCCACTGACTCCCTGGAGCTTAGAAAATAGACTTTAAATAAATCACTTGATGCACGACAATACATTAAAGATCTGCTGTTGTATCAACCTTCCAGGCATTTTGGGTCTTCTGGTTCTGCTCTGCATCAGAACCAGAACCAAACATGGAGAAGCAGCATTCAGCTTCTATGCACCACAAATCTGGAACAATCTTCCAGAAAACTGCGAAACAGCTGAAACACAGTTTCTTTAAATCTAGACTATAAATCTACCTGGTTAGAGTTGCATTTGAACCATAATAATGAAACATTGACCAACATAAGGAGTCCTATCGGGCCTTTTGGCCTGTGGGACTCCAGAAGCAGCTGATGGGTACCGGCAGGCGAAGTGGCATGCGGCTCAGGTGGTTGCTGAGACAAAAACTCGGGCGTGGGAGGAGTTTGGAGAGGCCATGGAGAAAGACTTCCGTACGGCTTCGAGGCGATTCTGGTCCACCATCCGGCGTCTCAGGAGGGGGAAGCAGTGCAGCACCAACACTGTTTATAGTGGGGATGGTGTGCTGCTGACCTCAACTAGGGACGTTGTGGGCCGGTGGGCAGAATACTTCGAAGACCTCCTCAATCCCACCAACATGCCTTCTGTTGAGGAAGCTCAGCCTGGGGACTCTGGGTCGGGCTCTCTAATCTCTGGGGACAAGGTTGCCGAGATGGTCAAAAAGCTCCTCGGTGGCAGGGCCCCGGGGGTGGATGAGATCCGCCCGGAGTTCCTTAAGGCTCTGGATGTTGTAGGGTTGTGTTGGCTCACGCGACTCTGCAATATCGCATGGACATCGGGGGCAGTTCCCCTGGATTGGCAGACTGGGGTGGTGGTCCCCCTGTTCAAAAAGGGGGACCGGAGAGTGTGCTCCAATTACAGGGGGGTCACACTCTTAAGCCTCCCTGGTAAGGTCTATTCAGGGGTCCTGGAGAGGAGGGGCCGTCGGATAGTCGAACCTCGGATTCAGGAAGAGCAGTGTGGTTCTGGTCGTGGATCACTGGACCAGCTCTACACCCTCAGCAGGGTCCTGGAGGGTGCATGGGAGTTCGCCCAACCAGTCTACATGTGTTTTGTGGACTTGGAGAAGGCGTTCGACCGTGTCCCTAGGGGGGATTTGTGGGGAGTTCTCCGGGAGTATGGGGTACCGGGCCCTTTGATACGGGCTGTCAGGTCCCTGTATGAGCAGTGTCAGAGTCTGGTCCGCATTGCCGGCAGTAAGTCAGGCTCGTTTCCAGTGAGAGTTGGACTCCGCCAAGGCTGCCCTTTGTCACCGATTCTGTTCATTACTTTCATGGACAGAATTTCTAGGCGCAGCCGAGGTGTTGAGGGGATCCGTTTTGGTGGCCTGAGGATCGCATCTCTGCGTTTTGTGGATGATGTGGTCCTATTGGCTTCATCAGGTCGTGATCTGCAGCTCTCACTGGAGCAGTTTGCAGCTGAGTGTGAAGCAGCCAGGATGAGGATCAGTGGCTCCAAATCTGGTCTTGAGCCGGAAAAGGGTAGAGTGCCTTCTCCGAGTCGGGGCAGACGCCGTGCCCCAAGTGGAGGAGTTTAAGTATCTTGGGATCTTGTTAACGAATGAGGAAAGAAGGGAGCGGGAGATAGACAGGCGGATTGGCGCAGCGTATGCCGTGAAGCGGGCGCTGTACCGGTCCGTCGTGGTGAAGAGGGAGCCAAGTCAAAAAGCAAAGCTCTTGATCTACCGGTCGATCTACGTTCCCACCTTCATCTATGGTCATGAGCTTTGGGCCATGACGAGATCACGGATACAAGCGGCCGAAATGAGTTTTCTCTGCAGAGTGGCTGGGCTCTCCCTTAGAGATACTCGGTCATCCAGGAGGGACTCAGTAGAGCCGCTGCTCCTTCACGTCGAGAGGAGCCAGTTGAGGCTCTGAAGCTGCTGCCCCCGAAACCTGACCCCAGATAAGTGGAAGAAGATGGATGGATGGATGATCAACATATTTGTGTATTCATGATTTTGATGATGGCACTCATCAAAATGTAATGTTTGTCACTGGTTTCTTAGTTACATGTATGCCGTTGTTATGTAAAGCACTTTGAACTGCCTTGTTACTGAAATTAATACAAATAAACTGGATTCACTGACAATGCGCGCACCAAGCTACACCATAGCACTTGCTCGGCTTGTGTGAACTCATCGCAAAGTCCAAAAGCTGGACAAAAACACTCTTCTACTTTGTCACCGACACTCAGTGAGGTGAGCTCTAATTTTTTGAGGTGTACAGATAAATGTGTGGGTGGCTGATAAATTCTCAGTATTTGTGACACAGCAGCTTCCCAGTTCTCTTTATCTTTTCATTAGAGTCCAGTGACAGAAACACTACAACCACATTGTTTTTTCAAAGCAGCAGCAGCAGAGGTGTGTTCAACGGTCAGCTATGAAGAAAAGGAGAGACTCCATCCCCATAGGGAACCGTACTGATTGGTTCTTTCAAATTCTTCATCCAATCAAAGCTCATGTATCCTAAGCAGCCAATCCTACATTCTGAACCTGATGTGTGTCTGGTACTCCAGTCCATATGGGACTGTTCCTGAGTTGGAACTCAGCAGAGCAGATCTGCAGGGTCATCTGAGTTCGGCCTTGAATGGGGGCCACACCGACAACATAGTGCCTTAGGCCCAACTTTGAAACACTGCTGCAGGCCTCTAAGCCAGTTAACATGGAAGAAATGTTCTCATTTTGAACAGTCAAACTTTTAAAACCAGATAAAAACATCAGTGAGATGTTGAGATTGTTTGCGACTCCAGATGTTCATTCAAAGACTTGAATCTTCTTTCATTTTTGATTTTTTCTGAAATGACAAAAAAGGAAAGTAAGAGGGCAGAACTAAGATGGATTGAGCCGACAGCAGATTTAAAACACATGATGGTGTTGACCTTGTAAAGCGGGCTCCAGGGTAACCAGATGGTTTATCAGGGTGGTCCTTGCAGCTTCTCTCCCCATGTTGCCTGGGAAACGCAGCCAGAGAGGATTAGTTCAGTCCAATGTGAGATAAAAGACCTTCACTAGATATGTAAGCAGCTATGATGGGTACAAAGGTCAGATCTGGACCATCGTAGTGTTTTTAGGCTATGTGACCCTGAATGTCCTGGACGACAATGTACATTAGTGAAACATGTTTCACCTCTTCAACTTTTACCAAGACATAATTTATAACATTCATGCAAAAAATACTAAAGTTAATAAAGATAAAGGAGCTCATGGTGGTTGTTGATAGAAGCCTTGGATTAAAAGTTATTCTGCTCAACTTGGACAAAGAGTTCTGTTTAATATTTAACCTTCATTTTATTTTGAAAGTCGACAGATTTACCTGACATACGGATCTGCTCTTTAGTTCTGTTTTTGAGAGATGGCTTTGGCACTCTGGAATGATGTAGCTTCAGGAAGGATTTGTCTTCCTCAGCAGGTAAATCGATCTCCACCTGACGATGGCGCCGTGACTTTACAGCCTGAAAATAGCATCACATTTTCTGATCATTCTTTTTGTCTTCAAATACTTCTACCTAAAAAAGGCTACAGAAGATGAATAGATACTAAAAACTATTGACTCAGTAAATATGTTGCATTTTATATCATAAACTGTGACAGAAAAAGACATTACAAACATTATAGATGAAATCATCAATAAAAAATTTAGTTACTGTTAAGTTTCAGCAAAGGCTAGAAAAACTTTATACATTAAAAAAATCATTTATTGGAGCATTAGTCAGTGTAAGGATACTGAACAGTACACACCTCTGATGCTTCTTCATAAGCCTTAGATTTGATGGATGCCAGGAGTTTGGCTCTGTTGGAACACTGAGGACACAAAACAACCAGTTACTGATGGTTAAAAAGCCTGACCTGGTCATTCTGATATTTGACCAATTCCAATGTTTTGTCTACGATGTTGCTAAATATAGGAAGTTGCTGAGTTGGCAGGGTGACTGCTGTTAACTGCAAACATGCAGACATGACCTGGTGGGCCGGTCAGTCAGTCAAACCTCTCACTGCAGAGCAGAAGAGGGCAGTGGCTGATTTTTAGACCTTTGCTGACACAGATAAGACCAGGGGATAAGATCAGCTTCACATCTAAGAATTGGCTAATCACCGATCTCCCAAAATTAAGGAAACTGGAGCTGATTTATTGGTGCAACTCTACTAATTAGCTGTTAATTTTAGTAAAGAACAAAAACTTGACGTCTCCTCCTCAGGGCTCCTTTAACAGGATCTAACATGAATATTAAACTCATTCTTCAAACTTTAGAAGAATGAACAATAACCCATTTTAAAAACATACCTCCTGCTGAGATGAAATCCTTTCCTGGCTGGGCTGGGCTTCATCGACTGTATCCTTTCAAGACAAAAGGCAACAACCATTTGAGAAATGTTGGCAGTTCTCTTTAAAGCATCTATCAATGGAGGGTGAAGTTATGTTGGACAACTAAAGATCAATGTTAGGAGACATTCACTTTCATTCTGGGACTCCTCTGCCTCCTCCCAGTGCTAACTACAAGCAACCAATCAGAGTCAGGAGGAAGGTCTTAGCGCTGTCAGTCATGCCCATCTTTTTTTTTTTTTTTTTTAAAAACTACCATTTTAATTTTATTTGTAGGTTTTAAAATAAAGAAAGAGCTCTATCAATGGGATGTTGATATTTGTGGAAGATAAAAAAAGCATGTATTCTTAATCTCATCCTGGTGTGGAAACGCAATGCTATAACTGCCATTAGTATTATGTCTATATTTAAATACATTAGTTGGTTCTTTATCCTTCACAAAATTAAGAGGTACTGTGAAAGGAGCCTCAGGTTGCAGATATAATACAACAGAAGACTGAATGTATCAGATACACAATCATACAAAAAGAAATGAATTACAGTGTATGCTGAAATGAGAAACAGTCAAAGTTAAACAAAGAAAGCCATTTTCTATCAAACAGTACACTGGCTTTATCCTAAAGCTTTACTAACATATTAGTCAATGAGATGTTTAATGATTTCAATAAGTTTTGGGTACAATAAGTGCTAATAGGGGTTAGAAGTGACTAAATGTGGAAAGCTCACCTTGTTCTGCTGCCAGTTGTAGAATTCCATAACAGCACTGCAGAGCTCCGACACAATTCCATCACGGATCAGGCTGACAGACGCAGCATCTGCTGTGGACATCTGGGAGCTGATGGACGCCTTCATATTTTTGTATAGCTCATGGATATTTGACATTTCCTGCAAGAGTCAAATCAAAACCATTTAAGCAAAGTTGATCTTTGGAGGCAGAGCACAGCAGGCCTATTTCCAAGGCAACCAGGTGTTAGCTCAGAGTTTCTTCAAGATGTTTCAACACCTGTCCAGAATCCTGGCTGGGAACTGCGCTTTTTAAGCAAGAAGAATAAGGATGAAGGATGCCATTTTTGTCAAAAGGGAAAAGCCCAAAAACCAGACTGAGGGGTACAACAACCCTGTTTTGAATCCCATCATGATTCCACTGACCAACCAAGCCAGGTGGGGGTGAGCAGGTCCTTAACTTATTGGATGGTGATTGGTTACTCTGAACTCACCTCAGTCAGCTGAGTATTTATCAGTTCCTGGGGGCGACATGGTCGTTCCATGAACTCATCACAAAGCTCTGGCTTCTCCTCAGTCCTCTTTCTGTTGTAATGAAGCTGAATGGAGACAAAGAGGAGAGTCGGTGTAAAAGAAACCTTTTACCTCATCAAGAGGGGTTTGTGTCAGACCGCTCACCAGAGTGGGCATTGCAGTGAAGAGGAAAGCTTTGCAAGTCAAAAGCTGTTGTAAGATGTAGGCAACATCGAGGTGTTGAGCATCCAATGATTCCTTCTCAAAGTTTCTCACATCCTCCCAGTCCTTCAGGGCCACACGGATCTGCAGCCAGAGACGAACCAACAGGGCAATATGATGAAAAAAGGAGTAGACTGCGGTTTAAACAGAGGGGATGTGTACTGTAGTCCCGACCTGCTCTGGAGGTGAGGTGTTCTGGCAGTGGTAGAAGCTGTACAGCAGGTAGAGACCACCCACACGGATCTGGAAGCTGAACGGGGGCATGAAGTAGCAGTAAGCTACGTCCAGGACCATTCGGCAGAAGGCTCGCTTGTTGTGGCTCTGTCTGTCATTGGGACAAAAAACAACAAACACTGACCCTGAAAGCTAGAAAAGGGGCAGAAAGCTTGGAAGGCAACCTCCTGTCAGAACATTAATTTTTTTTATCAACTTAACTACATGAATAACATAAGGTGACAATCGCCACTAGAGGTTTTTCCAAAACTTAGCTTCTAAAAAGTTTTAAGTCCACTAAATGCTTGTTAAGGTTTGGGGACAGCCACTTCGATGTAAACGGTCTTAACATTAACATTAAAGTGTTTTCTGTACCTGAAGATCTGAACGAACTTCATCTCCTTCCAAATGTTTGAGAAAACCTCAAATCTGACAGACTGCGTTTGTCGGAAGCGGCTGAGTAACGCCTCACAGTCTGATTTCACAGGTTTCCGGTAGGACTCCATCTCACCCTGGATTCAACAACCAAGAGCAGCAAGAGCCGATATTAACGAGCAAAAAGTTAGTCCGTCACGTTTCATAAAAATCTATTGAGAAATGATGGACCAGTGACACCCAGCTAGACTCAACCATGGACTCTTCGATTCTCACAAGTAGAACCGATCTGAAACCTTTCCGATGAGAATCTCCGGTTGCAAATATTCTTCTTCTTCTTTTCTATTATGTATTACAATTATTGTAGCTACCGGGTCTTCTT